CTCTCTCTCTCTCTCCCTCTCCCTCTCTTTCTCTCCCTCTCTCTCTCTCTCTCTTTCTCCCCCTTTCCCTCTCTCTCTCCCCCTCTCCCTCTCTCTCTCTCCTTCCCTCTCTCTCTTTCTCTCTCTCTCTCCCTCTCTCTCTCTCTCTCTCTCTTTCTCCCCCTTTCCCTCTCTCTCTCCCCCTCTCCCTCTCTCTCTCTCCTTCCCTCTCTCTCTTTCTCTCTCTCTTTCTCTCTCTCTTTCTCTCTCTCTCTCCCTCTCTTTCTCTCTCTCTCTGTTTCTTGTGTGTTGTTGGTGTGAATTAATTTTTTATTACTACAAAGTATGAACTAAGATAGGAAGTGTCCTAGACTACTCGTGATTGGTCCCTAATGGTAAATGCCTCCTCTCTCCTACACTGTTAACATCAGCCTATTCATGCCACAGACCAACTGTCAGTCTGTGACTCATTGTCCAACACGTTTTTAATCTCTCACACTTTGTATGTGTATCACTACAGTGTCTCTCAATGCCTCTGTGTGTGTGTGTGTACTTGTTATGGTGCTTTTGATGGTAAATTGGTGCACAATTGTCCCAATATATTTGCTCTTCTAGATTATTAAAACTCTGTTACTTATTCTCTCTCTCTCTTCCCTCTCTCTCTCTCTCTCTCTCTCTCTCTCTCCCCCTCTCTCTCTCTCCCCCTCTCTCTCTCTCCTTGTGTTATCATTGATTATTTATTGCTTACTGTAGCTATTACTTATTACATTATCAATGAAGCAAGCAGCATCATGCGACACTCATAATGATATTAAATAGAATTACAGCACACGTACATTATGATAAGTACATGACTTCAGCACTAGAGTGTACTCTGTATATGTACATCATCATGACTTCACAAGTCATTAACTGTCATTTTATTTACAATAAGAGAGAGAGAGAGAGAGGAGAGAGAGTAACTGATCCACTGTTTAGAAGTGCAGCTGTACTAATATTCAATTTTTATCATCAATTCATTTGGGCTACAATTATCGCTTTCATTGTTGCCCTGGCTGGCACTTGAAGTGATAAAACTAGCATAATGCATTTACTGATATCAGTGCATGCACTACCTGTGATCTTGTCCTCTTGATCCACATGTTTTATCCTATAGTGAAGCCTTTATAACAAGGACACCTTTGTATCATCTTCAATGTCCTAATTAGTATAAATGATGTACTTATAAATGTATTGAAGACTGGGCACTGTATTTTATTTTGATGTACATGTACATGTATTTATTATCACTTCTACTGTTAGTGTTTGTGTGAGTTCATTGTCACTTTTATTTGTCTGTAGGAGATAAAGAGACAAGCCCCACACCTTGCTATTATCCATCAAAGGTAGAGCAATACAGTATACTTGTTATTCAGATCTTTGTACATGCATGTATGTGTACATGTACACATACATTGTATGTACATGTATTTTTATGCTCACTCCTTTATAGCTGATACTGTCTTCTCCTTCTCTTTTTTGTCTCTCTGCCTCTCTCTTGATCTTTTTTCTCCCTCTCTCTTTCTCTCTCTCTCTCTCTCTTCTCTCCTTTTCCCCCCTCCCCCCTCTCTCCCTCCCCCCCTCTCTCTCTCCTCTCTCTTTTTTCCCCTCCCCCTCTCTCTTTTACTTTTTAGATAGAAGCTCCCCCAAATGGTAAGTCCTTACATGTACATGTACATGTTTACATGTACATGTACATGTGTTGGAGTGCTGGGTGTGTGTGTGTCTGTTTATACAATACCCTAAGTGTTTGTGTGTATTCATTACACTATCATATTATCATCATCACTTATTTATTGTATTTATTTCACATGCGTCATATTACATGTATATTTTTCTTTTGTTATTTTCATTACCGACAGAATTTATTGCTCATCCTTCATCCCCCACTTCAATGTCTTTAACGTTCAAGTGTGCTCCTCCTTCTCCTCAAAATAAGAACTTTAGTTTTTATCTCGACCCGAGGGAGTTGAAAGCCATTGTTACGGTCCAGTCTCTCGTTAGAGGATTTCTTTGCAGGAAAAGGAATGTTATTGAAAAGATAAGGGCAGCCATTTTAATACAGTCCACTTGGTAGGGGATAGAGAGAGAGTGTGTGAGAGCTTTCACCTATTATTATTATTATTATTATTTTTATTATTATTATTATAACAAAATCAGACACAATGCAGAAGACAAAAGAGAGACAAAAAGGGAAAGCCCATAGAGAAAAGAAAATCAGGGACAAAACAACAAACAGGAAAAAAAAAACCAAAAACAAAACGCAACAAAATAAAAACAAAACGTCCTACAGTTGACCATGCACCTCAGGAGACAAGATGTTTATTATTATTATTATTATTATTATTATTATTATAACCAATAAGAGACAAGGGGTGAACAATAGCACAGAAAGAAAAAGGGAGTAGCCCTTAGAGAATTAGA